CTCCAGCTCGGCTGAGATCTGCTCCAAATGCTGGACCCTGATGACCATCGCCGTCCGCGTCATCGACCGCGCGCTCGTGGGTGAGGGTCTCAGGGATCCCCGTGACCCCCATCCGAGGGCATATCCACAGACCCAGACCCCCAAGGAGGGGCTGAAGCATCGCTCTCATGGGGCTGGGGGGCAGCGGGGGGTCCGCTGGTGCCCAGGGGGGGTCTGTGGCACCACCAGGCTTGGGTGGACCCCGCAGCCCGGCTGTTCCCCCCGCAGAGGACCTGGGCATGAAGCATCGCCTGTGGGTGAGGGTCTCAGGGATCCCCGTGACCCCCATCCGAGGGCATATCCACAGACCCAGACCCCCACGGAGGGGCTGAAGCCTCGCTCTCATGGGGCTGGGGGGCAGCAGGGGGGTGCGCTGGTGCCTGGGGGGGGTCTGCAGCACCACCAGGCTTGGGTGGACCCTGCAGCCCGGCTGTTCCCCCCACAGAGGACCTGGGCATGAAGCATCACCTATGGGTGAGGGTCTCAGGGACCGCCATGACCACCATCCGAGGGCATATCCAGACCATGCTCTGTCCCACAGCAACGCTCAGACCCCCAGGGAGGGGCTGAAGCATCGCTCTTATGGGGCTGGGGGGCAGCGGGGGGTGCAGCATCGCCTGTGGGTGAGGGTCTCAGGGACCCCCGTGGCCCCCATCCAAGGGCATATCCAGACCATGCTCTGTCCCACAGCAACGCTCAGACCCCCAGGGAGGGGCTGAAGCATCGCTCTTATGGGGCTGGGGGGCAGCGGGGGGTGCAGCATCGCCTGTGGGTGAGGGTCTCAGGGACCCCCGTGGCCCCCATCCAAGGGCATATCCAGACCATGCTCTGTCCCACAGCAACGCTCAGACCCCCAAGGAGGGGCTGAAGCCTCGCTGTCATGGGGCTGGGGGGCAGCGGGGGGTGCGCTGGTGCCCGGGGGGGGGGTCTGTGGCACCACCAGGCTTGGGTGGACCCCCCAACCCGGCTGTTCTCCCCGCAGAGGACCTGGGCATGAAGCATCACCTGTGGGTGAGGGTCTCAGGGACCCCCGTGACCCCCATCCGAGGGCATATCCAGACCATGCTGTCCCACAGGAACGCTCAGACCCCCACGGAGGGGCTGAATCCTCGCTGTCATGGGGCTGGGGGGCAGCGGGGGGTGCAGCATCGCTGTGGGTGAGGGTCTCAGGGACCCCCGTGACCCCCATCCGAGGGCATATCCAGACCATGCTGTCCCACAGGAACGCTCAGACCCCCACGGAGGGGCTGAATCCTCGCTGTCATGGGGCTGGGGGGCAGTGGGGGGTGAGCTGGTGCCCAGCGGGGGGGTCTGCAGCACCACCAGGCTTGGGGGGACCCCACAGCCCAACTGTTCCCCTCACAGAGGACCTGGGCATGAAGCATCGGCTGTGGGTGTACTCGGGCCGGAGGGGCGTCCACTGCTGGGTGTGCGACGACGCGGTGCGGAAATGGTCGCCGGCGCTGCGGGCGGCCGCCGTGGAGTACCTGACCCTGGTGAAGGTGGGTAGATGGTGGGGGGGAGGGCTAGGCACCCCCTGCCCGCCCCCCCGAGTCTGACCACTGCTGTCCAACCTGCTCTGTGTGGACCTGTTCTGGCAGGGGGTTGGACTAGATGATCTCCAGAGGTCTCTTCCAACCCCATGTGATTCTGTGATTCTTTCTGTCCCCCCCCCAGGGTGGAGCAGAGACCGTGAAGAAAGTGAACATTTCTGAGCCCGTCCACCCCTTCATCAGGTCAGTGGGGACCCCCCTGCCCGGCCCCCCCATCAACGGCCACCGGCTGGGGGGTCCTGAGCTTCTCCTGGCTCCGTAGGCACTCGGTCAGCGTGGTGGAGAAGTACTTCGAGGCGTACGCCCTGGTGGGTCAGGACATCCTGGGCACCCCGGAGAGCTGGGAGAAGGTGCTGGCTCCCCAAGAAGCGGGACTCGGTGCAGCGCTGGGAGCTGCTGAAGGGCAGGATGGAGAGGACGCGGGTGAGTGGCCGTGGGGTTGCCCCGGGGTCCTTGCCGTACCCCCCCGCTGCCCCCTGACCACCCCCCCCACCCCTGTCCCCGCAGCGGAATGTGGGGAGTGGGAAGAGCCCGGTGTGCTACGCGGACTGGGAGATCATGCTGCAGTACTGCTTCCCCCGCCTCGACATCAACGTCAGCAAAGGCGTCGGGCACTTGCTGAAGAGCCCTTTTAGCGTCCACCCCAAAACAGGTGGGTCTGGCACCCTGTGGGGCCAGCGCCCCATAGGGACCCCCGCAACTGGGCACCCCCGGCCGTGACTCCCCTCTCTTGCAGGTCGCATTTCGGTGCCCCTGGATCTGCAGAAGCTGGACCAGTTTGACCCGTTCGCTGTCCCCACCATCAGGTAGGTGAGAAACACCGACTCACATCTTAGAATTTAAAGAGGACAAAGTCACCGAAGCAAAGGTCAAAAAAAATAATAATTTATTAATACGAAAAAGCGCTGAATCGGGTGCACCAAAAATAGATGCACGATGATCTTTTAGCTTTCAGGTATTTTATACCTTTATCCCGGCCGCTTGAGTTTCTCTCTCTCTTCTCATGGGCTGAGAAGTTGGAGCTCACATTCTTCCCGACCGCTTGACCTATTGCAGGTTTATTTTGCACTTTTTCCCATATAAGGCCCACATACACCTATTCTACGAAATTATTATCCTAAACACGCCTTTGATTAGTTGATTAAGGTACACGTTATTTCAGAGTCTTTGCTACCATCTACTTGGCAGATTTACCAGACTGGTTTCTTTGGCCTTATTGATACTCCCCTACCCTTTGGGTTTTTGTGTCGAAGGCCATGTTCCAGTTTGTTTCTCTTCACCTGGATAACGCTCTGTGAACAAGGATTCTTTGACAGACCAAGGGCATTTCTGGGGATTAATTGGAGGCAATTTATTAGACTCCACTATTACTAAGGCTTCTTTGTTAGTACTATCACACTAACAATGATACATCAATTAGCTGAAGTGGGGTGAGCGGGGCTGACCCCCTGGTGGCACCGGGGGTCCCGGTTGTGCCCTCAGCCCCACAACATCCCACCCTCTCCCGCAGCTCCCTGTGCCACGAGCTGGATGTGGCCAGTGACGCCGGGGAGCAGGAGGACGGTGGGGAGACAGAGCCGAAGCGGCGAACACGGGGTGAGCGGGACAAGGGACGGGGTGCTGGGGGGGTCCCCACTGCCCCGCTCCCACTCCTGCTCCTGCTCAGCTCCCCAAATCCTCCAGATTACAAGAGGACGAGCCTGGCGCCCTACGTGCGGGTCTTCGAGCAGTTCGTGGAGGAGATGGAGCGCGCCCGGAGGGGAGAGCTGCTCCAGAGGAGCGGTGAGAACAGGGCAGGGATGGAGCTGGACGGCGGATCCCAAAGTGGGGAGCCCCTGGCTCTCAGAAACTCCTCTTTTTTCTGTAAAACTTCCCATTTTTCCTCTTCGCAGACCTCCAGGGAGACTTCTGAGGATTCGCTGCCGGGGGCCACAGTGGCAGGCCCGGTCCTCGTCCTCCGCCATCGTCACCTCCGCCGCCGGCCGCGGGGGTCCCGGTGCCGTGGAGCAGGGACCCCGTCAGCCAGCAGCCATCCCACCCCTGCTCCCTGCCCCTCTCCCACGGACCCTTCCCCCATTTTGTACTTTTTCTACTCAAAGACCATTAAATTTCTCTGGTCACCCTGTGCCTGCATCTGCGGCCCGACCCGGTACCCAGTGTGCCCTGCCCCGGCCCGTAGGGTCCCTGCCGCACCGGGGGTCCCTGCCGCACTCCGGGGCCAGGCCCCACGGTCACGGGGTCCCAGCCCCGCACCCCGAAGGCCCCCGCTCCCTTTCCACGGGGGTCCCTTCCCCGCACCCGGCCCTACCGGGGCCCGGAACGGCGGAGCGCGGCCGTTGGAGTGGGGGGGAAGGCGATCGGCGGGGCACTGCCCCCCTGCCCCGGAAGTGCTCGTTCTGCCGGAAGTCGCGTCTCCAGCCCTTCGGTCTCTTTCCGCCGCCATCTTGGGCCCTGCTCCCCGCACAGTGAGTCCCGCCGGCGCCATCCGCCGCCATCCGCCGCCTCGGGGGCTCTCCGCCGCTCGGGAGCCGCGGCCGGGCCGGGAGGAAGGGGGGAGGGCGGTGGCGGCCCGGTTTAGGCCGCCGCTGGGGTCGCGATCGCGCCGGGAAGGCCGGCGGGGACGGCCCGGCGC